TACACTCATTTTCAAATCAGTTTGGTCTTCACGAGAGACTCAGCTGAATCTCTCCTTTATGATATTCTACCACTGAATGTGCTGCACACAGGCCGCCTCATGTTTTAGTTGACACGATATTCGATATATCGCAGTATATTATCATAAAGGAAACTACTCACAAGGTTGCTGAAAACTCTTCGACAGCCCAAGACCTGTTTCGCTCTTCTTGGGGCACATCAGGTAGGCGCAGTCTCTGAGTTTCCGTTCTACTTGAACCAAAAGTGGACTGATTGCAACAAATACACTCATTTGCAAATCAGTTTAGCTTTCACGGATGACTTGGTATAAACCACGTAAATCACTCGCTTATGACGGTCCTCATCAAGAGAAACAACATTTAATATTTTTCCGGTTACCCGAGGGAACCCTCTCAATGGTGGAAAATGTTATCGTCTAGTTTCTGAAGGGAGCTTAACAGGCTGAGAATACCGGACAGTTTCACGCGCACACAATGTTAGTGTGGACACGTATGTCGAAATTCTCATTGAAATTCATGCCAGGTGCACAATCAGTGAATCATCGATCTCACCAGATTCCAATCAAACACTGCGCCTACCTGATGAGCCCCAAGAAGGGCGAAACCGGTCGTGGGCTGTCGAAGAGTTTTCAGCAACCCCGTGAGTAGTTTCTTTCATGAAAACAAACATACCACTTTCCAGCTTTCGGTCATAGGGTGAAACCTCGCTCTGGGAGCCCGGAATCTCCTCATTTGATCATCAACGTGACCCACAAATGCTAGGTTACAAACTGGATTTAAGGTCTTTTGTACATTCGTATCTAGGTGACTTTGTCTGTCCAAACCGTTGCTTCTAACTGTGCGCAGTTCCACAAACTGAAACGCAGAGTCTAGCTGAAAGTCTATTTTGTCACTCACGGACCATCAAAAGTGTCTTACATGCTTTGCTAACCAGCTACCTCTTCTTATTTCATACTTCAGCTATTTGGTGCAAAACGATGCTCATAAATGTATCATAAACACGAGAGTCAGTTGAGTCTCTCGTGAAAACCAGAGTAAATTCTCGAAAACAGTGCAATTTGTGTTCAAGTAGATCATAAGGTTGACGGAAACTAGGGGACTGCGACCACTCAGAACGAAACGGACTAGGTAAACAGAGTTTTCCTCTTGTACCCTACCTTAACTTTAAAGCTGAGTGGGTTACGAGACTGTCAAGGAGGACGGAAATGAATGACGGCTTCACCATTGTATTGTACGTACTACGTTGCGTGGACGTCAAGTAAGTAGTGTGAGAGCGGTTTATTAAGCAAGATAAATTCTAATTTGTCAGGGAACTATACAACAGAATCGGAGAGCATAGTAGAGAAACAAACAGGCCACCGAGAAAAACAGACGAATATCAAGCGTTGTTGAGAGACTCGGCAATCTCGGAACACGCACTGGACACGGGACACAAAATAGATTTGGAAAATGTTGAGGTTTTGAGGTGGGGACTACGGTCCACGTCACACAGACTGATCGCCGAGGCAGTAGAAATCACCAAGCATCCCACTGTTATTAGAATAGATGGCGTGGACCTGGCAAGCGTGTGGAGAACGGTTTTGGATCAGTCGAGCTGACACGTGTTGGTGTGCGGTCATCAGAAGGAAGAGTACTCATCGTCTGAATCCCACTTGACCTCAACCCCCCTCAAACTAAATTGTCGGAGCACTCACAACCCCACAAAGACCAGGGAAAATCTACCAGTGGCAACCGAGGTGAATCATTAATTGGAGCACCCTGAATAGGAAGATTAACAAACCAAACCTGGTGAGAATTAATTTGAAACGCCTCAATCCACCAAAGCAAGATTTTGACAACACTCAGAACGAAACGGACTAGGTAAACAGAGTTTTCCTCTTGTACCCTACCTTAACTTTAAAGCTGAGTGGGTTACGAGACTGTCAAGGAGGACGGAAATGAATGACGGCTTCACCATTGTATTGTACGTACTACGTTGCGTGGACGTCAAGTAAGTAGTGTGAGAGCGGTTTATTAAGCAAGATAAATTCTAATTTGTCAGGGAACTATACAACAGAATCGGAGAGCATAGTAGAGAAACAAACAGGCCACCGAGAAAAACAGACGAATATCAAGCGTTGTTGAGAGACTCGGCAATCTCGGAACACGCACTGGACACGGGACACAAAATAGATTTGGAAAATGTTGAGGTTTTGAGGTGGGGACTACGGTCCACGTCACACAGACTGATCGCCGAGGCAGTAGAAATCACCAAGCATCCCACTGTTATTAGAATAGAAGGCGTGGACCTGGCAAGCGTGTGGAGAACGGTTTTGGATCAGTCGAGCTGACACGTGTTGGTGTGCGGTCATCAGAAGGAAGAGTACTCATCGTCTGAATCCCACTTGACCTCAACCCCCCTCAAACTAAATTGTCGGAGCACTCACAACCCCACAAAGACCAGGGAAAATCTACCAGTGGCACCCGAGGTGAATCACTAATTGAAGCACCCTGAAGTGGAACATTAAGAAACCAAGGCCCCAATCCACCAACGCAATATTTTGACAACCACACTAGCCGATAAGAGCCGTTAATTGACACTCAACACTGATCTAGTGTGATAATCTGAAGAGGGCTGACTTACTGATTGGTTCCCCGTCTGCCTTATAACCTGGCCAATTTGGTGACCTGTTCACTTGGCCTGATGAAGCTTTGGTGTCAAAAGCGAAACGCTGTCCAAATAGAAAAAACTACCGACTGTTTACCAAACTCCTCTGAAAGGATGACTTCTCAATCGGTTCTGAACCTTTTCCAATTCGAAATGAACTTGAATTTGCTAGTTCTCTGAAGTTTCGACATGACAACTGTGAATCGGAGCTGACAACCATTCAACCAATGGTGACAAAAAGGACGATATACATATTACCTGTATTTTAGAGAGAAATACGCTGTTTCGTGTTCTGTTAGTTCCTATTTTCTTTGGATAGGAGAGTTCTACACCAAGAGTTTTGGATTTGCTAAAATCTGTCTCTCCAGAGCGCTTGGTATGTCGGGGTTTGCTCAGCTGCGTGTAGGTAATCACTTTTCATGCATAATTAGATAAGCGAATTGACTTTGCTCTCAGTCAACTAGATGGAGCTAGACGAAATGGTGAACGATAATTGGAAATCAGTGTAACTAGGGTCATGCAAATGAGAACTTCGGTTGGTTTGGATGGAGTTGTTAGAAAAACCAAAAATACGGGGCGAAATCAGAGACAGTTCGGAAAATGCAGCAGCAATCCTCGTCGATCTTTGGGAACCTTCATTTTCCGACTTCTCTCCATCGGTTTCAAATTACCGTGAAACTAGAATAAGGAAACCTGTGAAATACGACGCGCTCGGGCGGCACCTACTGGTTAAGCTGACAGCGGGGCATACAGGTGAATTGGGCCAATTCGATCGGTACATTACAAGTGGGCATTTTAATCTGTTAGCAATAGCATTTGACGTCTGAGTTCTGGGTAGAACAATTAAAATGGATTCGTCAGAATTCAAGAGTGATAAACTCTGTTTAAATAAGAACGACTGAACTCATCATTTCCGACAGTTTAGTCTTCTCTCATGGATGTCCTTTTTGTCAGATCTCACCCTCTTCGGAATAGATGTAGGCTTATTGTTACACTGTTACCCAGGGAAGCTAGGTTCGTACTTTCCAACTATCTCTGTGATGAATTTCATCCGGTTTAATTGGTACTTTCGTCCGATGTATAGAACGTGAATGTAGGTTACCATTCTTTCTGAAATGTCTTACAAACGGGGATAGGTGAACTGAAACAAACCCCATTTACCTCGTCACACGGATGAGGAACTCTTCGCAAATTCCACCGGGGTTGTGATAGCTGATGAATACACAACCTCAAATTTATTTGTCAGGATAGCATATTAGACTACCTTTCTTTATACGATGGTCAAACGGGATCCGCTGAGTCGAAAACGTAGATTAAGCCTGCATACTTCACGTTCTAAAAGCTAAACGACTGAAACAGACCTTCGACTTCGGCCAATTCTACTCAAACTGATGCATGTTTTAAGGGACTATCTATCGCATGAAAGATTATGGAGCAATTCGGACAAGGATTTGCTGTGATTGCGGTCACTCCTGAAATCCTGGATTTTTGCTCGTCGCTGCTGCCGAGTTGCTGTTCCGAAAACGGTGGAGCTGGAAACGGCTCCCGTTCCTATTCTCTAACTACGTGGCGCTAAAAAATCTGCATTCTGGAAACACAAATCTGTGAGGGCAGACCCGTTAGCGTCTGTACTCAAATCTAAACAAAACTAGAACATCACGAAATTCCACCCGCTAATCGAAGTAGCTTAATTTTCCTTTCGTAGATTTTTTTCAGATAATGTGCAGTTTCTTGCGAATCAGAAAACGCAAATTCAGTTCAGCCACGTCAGGACACACCGCGAACACCCGATGAATTTAGACACAACAGTAAAAGTTGAAGGGAAGTATTCGAAACCCATTGCAGTACACCTACTGAGCATAACGACCAGGCCAGGTCAAGGTTACCGACGCCAAACGCACGTATATCGTGTACAAAGTGCCAAACAAAAAATTCGGATGAAACAGCCAACTAGCACTGCGTCCGCCCTCAACGCATGACGCGCCAAACAGATTTGCCTGCTGCCGACCGGTGCACGGTACGCTTTAGCGTTTAGCGGGGCTGTCCCCGTTACGGTCAGTTCTCGTTGTCGGCGCGTGCGTAGGTGCGACCAACGCGGCTGTCAGTACGCCATGGCTGATATTGATCGGCGTCGCGTAAACAGCGCAGCCTGCAGCACTGTGTCTCTGTCCGTGTATGTCTGTCCAACAATCACCCCAGCAGGAGAGACAGAGACAGTGAAATAGAGAGAGAGAGAGAGAGCGCGCGCGTACATCCGCCGCGGCGGCGCATCGACTCAGATTGCCCGCAGTCGAATGCAATTGATGATTGGGTTCGTACAGTAAAAGAATGCGGTGGATTACTTGAGGCCTTCTTTATACTATGATATCAGTCACTACTGGATACTATGCCAGAACACTTCTTGTTTACCCTCGGATTAGTTTATATTTCATTGGATTATTGTTGGTTCAGTACACATGCTCGGCGCTTGGCATAGTGGACGGTTCACTGGATTCGAAGATTCCTTCTCTCTGGTACGACGTGCATGCAGACAGTGGTAAGTTCCCGTTTTTTGGTATGTTACTCTTTGCGGGGTTCCAAACAGGATCCCCTTCTTTTCCAACGGTGGGTTTCAACGAATACTCTTATCCTTCTACTCACCCAAAAACATCCAGGATTTTTCCCGTAAGAACACGGGACAGGACAACTGAAAGGCAAAAACGCTCTTCCGGGGTTTTTCAGCAACCTTATGAGTAGCGCATTACAAAGACCAGTTCTCGTTTTAGAGGGGCTTGGTAAATAATTGGTAGTTTTCACCAGATCCTTCTGAAACGACGACTTCTCGATCGTTCCCAAACTTTTTCCCAACACTGGTTCTCCATTAACCCGTGAAGTCGAGTTTAGAAACTTATTAACACTGGTTTATTAACCCGTGAAGTCGAGTTTAGAAACTTTTGTCCCAAATCTACTCGGTGAAATAAACTCTGCCTTCGCTCGTTTAGATAGTCTTTGTATTCGTCCGTCTCGTCTGGAATATCTGTCGGTTGAATGTTGGGTGGACAGCGGTGAGTGAAGATCACATTTGTTCGATTCATATTTCTGAGAGCGCTTCGAAGACTAGAGAACGAACAGAAAGGAGTAGCTAGGTTTTCCTGCATTCCGAACCTATTTCGATTTCTGAACCAGGTTTCACAGTCGAAAACGCCTTCTATATGCTGTCTGTCAGTAATAAGAATCCGGGACGCAAGTACTGTAACTGAGTTGACCGCTCCACCGCTGCACAATTCTATTGAGACAGAGGCAGCTGGACATACCGATGTTGAGCCATCGACAGCAATTGTCTCCACTTGATGGGATACTGCTGATAGTCGCATATGCGCTGTCCGTTTGATGGGCTGTAGCTCCGAGTTTGCTGGGGACAGTTTCTGTGCCTCTCTAACTCTTCTTCTACGACGTGCTAAAAGCCCATACTCATTGTGGTTGCTGATGACATGAACGTTCAGACAGGTAAACTAGGTGCTGCTGTGGCCTAATTAGATGGTCGTGTTGGGTGAGACGTGAAATCCACGGAAAACGGAGTGTCGGCTGCAAGTGCGTGTTGATCACACAGACTGTTGCTTTGTAGCACCAATTTCTGGAACAGCAGTAATAGCCTGACCACGGGGTGCCCACCAACGAATCAGTTTTGAATCCAAATGTACCATACTGCCATCGCTTACTGGTGGCGAGGGCCGATCACTACCTGCCGCTCCTTCTGGAATGCCTGTGAAGGCTCCGCACTTATCCACTGCTGCTTTTCATTGCGCTTTTCAAGTCCTCCGCAAAACGCATACACTTCACTTAGTCATTGAGAAACTCATGGAACTAGAAATCAAACAAAACTCTCAGAACCGGCTCCTCGAACACCTGTCGGACGGTCCGACGTCACCTGTCAACAGCCACTGGGGACAAACATCCACATTGCTACTCAATGCTGGAAATTCCATCTGTGGCACAACACAGCTAGCCTTATCCTGTCACTTAGGTATGACTGTGGCGTTGCTTGATGCTTGGATTCAGATTCCTGCTCGTAGCCACTTATCAATTTGACGCATCTTCGACTCCAGATGGATTTAGGTGTGCGTACAGACCGCGAAGAATGATGGATCCTAAATTCCGAAGAACTGGGAGAAACGAAAGGTGCTGGAAACATCTGCAGGCTACTCACTTGATTCTTCCGACTGCTCCTCGTAAGCATCAGCGAAATCACCAGGAACCAAAATGGTTCCCCGATGTCCTGCATAGCAGAACATCTGATCCGGTGGGCACCGTGCTTTGAACAGCAGCTCAGTTGACCAACCGTTACCTGTAATTTGGAATCCTCGTTCATCATGAGAATGATGAACTGTGAATACAGAGCCCCATTCAACCTCAGAAGTGTCCGAGTATATATCTCTACTCAAGTGTCATCGTGCTGTTGGTCTTGACGACATTCCATCTCTGTTCAAGGATGGCGGTAGGTTCTTCAGCCGATGCCTGTCTAGCCTATTTGGGTCCATCCGGGATGAACAGACCGTTCCAGACAACTGGGGTGAGTCGATATTAGTGCCCATTTTCAAGGAGGGTACTCGCAGTGAATGCAGTGACCACAGAGATATTAGTTTCACTCCCGTCGTAACAGACAGGGCTTCCGATGTCTCTTCATCGTTTTACGGTGGCACGCGAATCATTGACCCGTGAGCATCAAGCAGGATTTCGATCGGGTAGAGGCTTCGTCGACCATATTCTCGCACCGTCAGGCATAGGAACAACGCCGTTTGTACAGAAGACTCGTAATCTTGGTGTTCCTTTACTTCGAGGACCCGGTTATGTCGCTTGGTCAGTGCTGATAACCGTACTTGCTCAATAGGGAGTACCCCGAAGTCTGAACATAATCCGGCTTCTATGCTAATCTACTTCGAGACGTGGTAAACTTTATGGTAAGCTCTCTTAAAGCTTTCATGGAAAATGTGTTTAGCAAGCATATCCACTCTTCATTCGTGTTTAAATTCGTCGAACTAATGAAGCGAACCCTTGAAGACCTTCAATACCCGGCATGAGAACTTTGTCAATCTGTGGTACGCAGAGATCGCTCTCATTTCTGAAGATGAGGGCGAAGCACGAGTTCTGTTGAATAAATTGACGACAATCATTCCACATTTTGGTATGCGCCTTGCACTTTTAAACTGCGAAGTCATGCAGTCCCTGACCATGCTCCCTGCATTTCAAGGGTAATCAATGGAGGTTGTGCGAAACTTTGCATACATCAGTAGTTGATGTAGTAGTAGCTCTGACGGAGGTGTGTCTGATGAAGTCAATGCACGAATATCAAAGGCCCGAAGCATACCTGATAATTCGCGTCATTCAGGGTGTCAGAACAGCTTAAATCTGAGTCTCCAAGTTTCCGTGTGGGCCATATTGTTGGATGGTTGAAAGATCCGGCTTCTTGGAATAGATGACATGGGGTTTTTGACCGCCTGGTTAGAGAGACTGCAAGATATTGCTGCTAATCGATGTCAATGGCGTTCATGTTGTCAGTTTGTATCCAGATTATTTGAGTGTCTGGAGGTGTAGACACTTCAGACTGAATATGGTAGGCTAGCAGTGAGTCACTTCGCCGTCTATTTTTATTTTTTCCTCACAATAAGCCTTTTAAAGAGATTATGGCTATACGGTGGCGAAGCATCAGTTCCGAACGCTGATGCTGTTGGTGATGATGGTGATGAACGTATGACTTAACAGAAGGGTGTGGAAGAGATCTTGATGAGTTAGGGTGCTGTCGGTGCTGTTCGTCTTCCAGGATGGGGACTGCGTTACCCCTGCTGGGCCTATCTGAAGACAATAAAAGAAACGACTGCCAAACGATGTCACTGGCGTTCGTTGTTTCAGTTCTTATATTGTCTTACTGAGCGGTTGGAGTGGTGGACACATCAAAATACTTGCAGTCAGCTAGCGCTAGGTCCCCCGTCATCCATACTTTGCTTTCGTTTTCATTTCAGTTAATTCAATCAACTCAGAGTAGCAAATATCGTGTCTATCTGTTTGTCTTCTTGGTTCCTGAACCTGAGGTGCAGCGTGTCGTTGCGCAGGCGATACGTACGTACGTGGCGCTAACATACCTTAGAGCTATTCTGTAAATATGCGCATACTAGCATTTGCATTTGCAGCTGAAGCTACTAAGTTATTTTACGTCTGGTCATATATAAAGCCATATAAAGCCAGAACAACTGCCACCAACAACTAGATCCCTACAGTACAAATCCCTTTGGTATTCATCGGCGTTCAGGAGTCTTGTAGTCAATGGCCGCCACCATTTAACTCTGATCGGCTTCCCAATATGTGTATGTATTAGCCGGTGTGCTGTGCACAGGAGGTAGTTTATGTTTTGTCAGGGCGCAGAGGTCGTCGATGGCATATGTGGGTTATTTTTAGCTGCCAAATACTGTCCCTTTGCCTAAGAAGAAAACTAATAAAAAATACCCGTAAGTTGTCCACCTACTTCGAATAGTGGCACATCGTCTCGTTGGCACCATAGTGAAGACCCGCGAAAAGACGAAAAACCCCTATAAACCAGTCAGAGCAATTTTGGGAGATTCGTGGTAATCCGCTACTTTTGAGGTGTGAGGTTCCGTTGCAGGAAGCGAAAACGCCACGATTTTATCCAACCAATTGCTGTTCACCATTTATTGCTCTAGCACACTGCCTGTTTCAACCATTTGGTATTCCTCCACCTCCCAGAAAGGGGCCCCTTGAATGAGGACACCACTATTGCAGCTTTCTTTTTACGTAATGTCGCTGTTTGGATGGCCTGTCGCAAACTGCGCCAGCTAGTCATTATAACAATGCCTCGACCCTTAAGTACACGTATTTTCGTTACAGCCTTGAAACATGAAATCATGGGCTATCTGCTAGGTAACATCTATGTAACCCCCTGGATCTTGGGAAACATTGGCCTGCCAGATTAAGTAATCAAATTCATCATCATCATCATCATCGTCAATATAACCGAAAAATATAGGGGTGCTTATTTCTGCCATTGAAGCTTGGATGCATAATCATGGCAAACCGAAAGATCAACGCCTTGCGCAGTCAGTAATACATGAGATTGGGCTGGTGCTTCATTAGCAACGACACTAAGGACTCGCAGAATGCTTGTTGCTTCGGGCGTCTTCGTATGTCAGCGGTAACTTTCTCCCTTTGCTTCAGTAGTGCTTCCTGTACCGCTTCCAAATCGAACCGACGCATGTACTGAAACCGGATTAACCGTTATTAAAAGCAAATAATCGAGGGCTGCATGTAACCAGCCTCAAGCACGATCTTTTGAGGAGGGCATGTGAGGATCTCATGGACTTCACAGCCAGCCTTGTGCAACGGACAATTCATTTGTGATCATACTTTTCCGGCAAAACAAGGTATCACGAGACGTTCGAAGACTGATAAACCAAACTGATGATTTAAGCGAACATCCTGCAAGACCAACTTCTCTGAATGCATTGGAACCTGAACAGCACGGAGTTTTTTCTTGATCCAGCTCGCATTTCGTGAGATTTCCCCGAAACTGGTTCTGCATCGTATAACTATCATTAAAAAGAGGAGAGCATGATGCTGGGTTTGCTTTCGGCCATATCTTAAGGATGCCCCATGCAGAATCCTGCAGTGTCAGTATACACCTTACCCTACTGTGTTTGAGCCTGGCCTTTACAGTGTTTGACCATTGTCCATGAGTAAGGTTAATTGGAGACCTGCAAAAACGTCCGATGTGGCCGGAAAATTGCAGCCCTTATTTATTGAGAACTTCAGTTGCTCGTGTTGTTTAAGATTATTCCTTTCGGCCGGATGGTCTTAGATACAGCTGTGCTGATTTCGTGAATATTAATTGAGAGAGCATTGGAAACGTCAAACGGTGATCAGCCGGAGAAACGCAGCGGTTGGGGAAGCTCGCGGCGACGTCTTCCCTTGCTAACTACGGGGCGGCGGTTGGTTATGAGAAATGTCTTTGACACCTACGTGACGGTGTTCTTCGGCTGTTGAAGTCCTCAGGACCCTGTTATCACAAAAGTGGTCAGGCTGTCTATGTTATTTCGAGAATCGTAGCAAAATTCGTCGCCTAACAGCGGCACCGCAAATAAAAGTGGTCAGTCTATGTTATTTCGAGAATCGTAGCAAAATTCGTCGCCTAACAGCGGCACCGCAAATAATAACTTGAACACACGATGCAGGCAGG